CTTAATATTCTTCCGCTTCAACTTGAACTTACATATGAGCAGTTGATGGTCTGTTCCAGTCGGCCCCTGGCCTTGTTCTTACTGATATTAAGCTTCTCCGTCATTGTCTTTCCACAGATGTAGTAATGGTTCCTGTGTATTCTGTCTGGTGAGGTCCATGTGTTTAGTTGCTGAAAAAAGGTTTTTCCAACTACTGATCAATTCTTTATTTTGCAAATCCAATTAATGTTCTTTTTGACAGTGAATACCTCATGCCTCTTCAATTTGTGATTCCAACGTAGTAGACGATATGCTTGTCTGATTAAAATGGCCAATTATCAGTCCATTTCAGCTCACTAATGCCTCGGACAGCAATTTTTATAGTTCTGTTTCATTTCTGACAACCACCAGTTGTTGTAGATTCATACTTTGTACATCCCATATTCTAGTTACTAATAGATGTTTGCTGCTGCTACAGATTTTGAGTTGTGCTCCATCAGCAAATGAAGATTCCAAAAGTTTTACTCTATCCACATCATTAAGGTTAACTCTACTTTGATGAGGCAGCTCTTGGCAGGCATTTTGAGTACTTCCAATATGAAGGGCTTCTCTTCTGGCATTATTTCAGACAGTGTCTGCTGCTGTTCATAAGGTTTTCATAGCCAATGTTTTTAGAAGTGGATCTCCAGGTCCTTTTTCCTAATCTCTTAGTCTGGAAGCTCCACTGAAACCATCCACAGCGGTGACCCTGCTCGTATATGAAATACTGATGGCATAGCTTTTAACATCACAGCAACATGTCCACCACCAAAGTAGGACAAACTGGCAGAGCAGTGGTGGACTTACTGTAGATGGCCTTATTCTGAATATTTGGGAACTAAACTGCTTCAGTCGTGTTAACTGTTGTTTAAAAGTGCTCATGCTGGAAAAAGAAAACACATTTAGATACAGAACGTATAAGAAAGTGGGTTGAAATTTATCTGTTGGTGGCAGTCCTTCCAAATGAAGTCATTCTTGTCTATTTTAGTTCATTTTCACCATACATCCATCTGACAAACATTGTGCTGGCTTCATCTTCAAAATACGTCCAAAATCTTCTTACCATTTTCAGTTATCTAGCTTAAGCCATCATCATCCTTCAACCAGATTTATGAAAGACTTATTTTTTTAATTAATAAATTATAGTAATTTAAATAATGATTTCTTATTCTCAGCACTATTGACATTTTGGACCGAATTACTCTGTTATTGCAGTTCTGGTGTGACACGGTTGGATAAAGCATTGGACCACAAGGTTGATTTGAACAGCAAGGGTAGTGGTTCAACTTCACCAGCCGCTCCTAGAAAACCCTATACAGGATTGCTATGAGTCCGAACGGACTCAGTGACACGTAACAACTCTTTGTTATGTGCTTTGTAGGATGTTTAACAGCATCCCTGGCTTCTACCTATTAGATTCTAATAGTATACCCCTCCCTCCCTTAGTTGGGGTAACTAACCTTCCACTTCCTGACCAGGTGGGGAGGGGGCTGTTGGGTGGGCTTATTGCCCTTGGTTGAGAACTACTTACTTAAAAGATACAATCTAACAAACTTTGACAGTGGTATACCCCCATGAAGCTATCATCATCTTGAGATAGAGCATTTCCTTCATCCTCCAAAGAAACCTTACTCCTTTTAATCCCCCTGTAGTCTGTTCCTAGGAGTCCTGGTATGGTGCCTTAGTATAAGCACTTGACCTCAGGTCGGTGTGAACCCAAGTTCAGCAGTTCAAACTCACCAGCCACTCTTTGGAAAAACACTATTATAGGTTCACCATGAGTTGGAATCGACTTGACAGCACTTAACAAATCTGACTCTAGTACAGCAGCCAGAGTGAACCTTTTCAAACATATCAGCTCATTCCCCTCCTGTGACTCCTCAGTTCACTGAGTAAAATCCAGTCTTAATAATGTCCTGCATGACTGCATGATCGAGCCATTTGCATCTCCTTTTATCTCCTACCATTTTCCCCTCGTTTGTTGTTAAGTGCCCTCCAGTAGAGTAGATTCTGACCCATAGCAACCCTGAATAGGGTTTCCAAGGAGCAGCTGGTGAGTTTGAACCGCCGACCTTGCAGTTCAAATAGCTTTTCAGTCTGGTGTATTAGCCCACAGCACCACACCAGGACTCCTTGGTTAGGTCTTTTCAAACAATGGCATCCTTGTTGCTCCTTGAACGTGCCAACCAGCCTTCCCTCTCAGGGTTTTTGTACTTGTTCTTCCCTCTTTCTGGAATGTTCTTTCCCCAGGTACCTCTGTGACTTGCTTCATTATGTCCTCTCTGACTCACTTTACCGTAGTGAAGTCTATACCCTCATGGGACTCTATATCCTGTTCCCCTACTTTATATTTCTTCATTAGCATTCAGTATATATAATTTATTGCCTGTCTGCTCATGCTTGTAAACTCTACAAGGGCAGGAATTTTATTGTCTCTTGTTTATTGATGTATCCAACTGTATGGAAAAGTACCTGCCACCTTCTAAATACCATTCTCAACCTAATAATTGTTCAAAACCAAATGATCATTGCTTTTTGGAATGCATGTGATTTTCACAACATGGAAGTGACAGCCATTTTCAGTTATTTTCTTGATTAGTGTCTTCACTTTGCATCTTGGTATATTGAATACATGATTATTGTTGTTAAGTGCTGTCAAGTTGGTTCTGACCTATGGTGACCCCCGTATAGGGTTTCGGAGGAGCAGCTGTTGAGCTTAAACTGCCGACTTTGAAGTTCAAACTGACTTTGCAGTCCATTGCATTAACAAGCTATTATTAAAACGACCCGATTTTAATGGTTTGTTGTTAAGTGCCGTCAAGTCAGTTCTGACTCAGCAACCCTGTGTAGGGTTTCTAAGGAGCAGCTAGTGAGCTTGAACTGCCAACCTGGTGGTTCAAAGCAACTTTGCAGGCTGGCTCATTAACCCACAGCATATATCTTTGGAGTCCTAGTGTGCTGTTATAAGGAGCTCTGGTAGCATAGTGGTTACGAGCTGAACTGCTATTGAAACTACCAGCTCTTTCTTGGGAGAAAAATAAAGCTTTCTGCTACCAAAAGATTTACAGCCTCGGAAACCTTATACAGGGTCACTATGAGTCGGAACCGACTCCATAGCACATAGCCACCACCACCACCACCACCAGTATGGTGCTATAGTATAAGCACTAGCGATTCAAACCCACCAGCCACTCCTTGGAAACCCTATACAGGGTCCCTATGAATTGAAACCGACTCAATGGCACTAAATAATGTTGAGCGTCTTTTAGAATTCTGTTTGGATGATTTGAAGTGTCAACTCCAAGGTAAATGATCTCTGTAAAAGGAAATCTTAGGGACCACGTATAAATATGGTAATTTATTGTCCTAATGTGATGAGTAAACCCAAATGGGTAGTGCTATATTATTTTGTATAATTGTATTTAAGTTGTGCTGTTGTTTAGGATTTTTACATTTAGGTTCATGGGTGATACTGGCCTGCAACTTTCCTCTTCCAGAATGTCCTTTTTGGTATTTGAATTTTTTTTTCTTCTTTTTTGAAGAGTTTGTTTAATACCTATTTCCAGTTCCTTGTTGAATTTTGCTAAGTGGTAGGCTTTCTGTTCCCACAGATTAAAAAAGCCTCGGGAACCATATACAGGGTCGCCATGAGTCAAAGCCGACTCGTTTGAAGGCACTTAATGATTGTTTTCTAGGAATTGATCCATTTCCTGTATTTTCAAATTTATTGACTTCAAGTTGTTCATAATACAACCACTTTAACAGTCTGCAGACAACTCCCATTTTTCATTCTTGAGGTTGAGTATTTTCTTTCCCTTTTCCTCCCCGTATCAGGCCCACTAGATTTTACAGATCTTTTCAAAAAGACCACTTTAGCTTAGATTTTTTTTCCTTCATTAATTTCTGCTCCTACCTTTATTTCCTTTCATTGGGTTTAATTTATTCTTTTTCTAGCTTCTTGAGAAGGATTGTTTCTTACCTTCTACTAGTAAGTACGGAGTACTCCTGGTGTGATGCTGTAGGATTAGCACTGGACCATCAAGGTTGTTTGAACTGCAAGATTGGCAGTACACACTCATCAACCACTCAACAACTGTGTATGGAGTCCTGGTGTTGCACTATAGATAAGCACTGGACTGTTAACCACAAGGTTGGTGATTCAAACCCACCAGCCATTCCTTAGAAACTCTGTACAGGGTTGCTGTGAGCTGGAACTGACTCAATGGTACTTAGCAACTATGATATAAGGTTATAAATTTCTCAACCTAGTTTTGTGCTCCACAATTTTTTACATTTTTCTATCATTTAATTTTCTGTTATATTGTAATTTTGCCTTGATCCATGGATTTATTTATAGAGTACATATAGTAATTCCAAATATAGAACAAAAGATAACTAGACAATCCTCTTGTTAATTCTAGTTTAATTGTGTTGTAGTCCAAGAACATGCTTTGTATAATTTTAGTTGAGAAATTTTACTGACACTTTTTCCACAGCTCAGCAAGTGATCAGTTGTTGTTAAGTGTGCCATGTAAATTTGGATTTGTTGGGTACAGTGTTCTAGATGTGTCAATTGCGTGGTTGTTAATGGTACCATTCAAACTTTCCACATCCTTGTTCTGCTTGTTCTGTTATTGAGTTTGGTGTGTTAATCTCCCACTATGATTGTGGATTTGTCTATTTTTAAAATTGTAGCTACAACAGTATAATGACAAAACCAGGAAAATATTTTCTTTAGTCAAAATGAGGGGTGGGGAGAAAGGATGACATTGGGGAAACCTATAAAGATAAATAGATGGTGAAAGTTTCTGATCTTTGGTAGAAGAGAGCGCTCCCTGCAGCAACATGGAGAGGTGATGGAATTGAGGACTCAGCTTGATCAGAAGCAGAGAACTAGGATTCTGTTTATTTGATGTTAATATCAGTGGTACCATGAATGTGGTACTGTGATAGTGACCAGGGTTTAACATTGTTTGTTCTAGCGCTGCTGGGACATTGCCTTGGGTCCCCTCAAACAGATTCCCATGAACCTCTTCATCATGTACATGGCTGGCAATACCATCTCCATCTTCCCTACTATGATGGTGTGTATGATGGCCTGGAGACCTATTCAGGCACTTATGGCCATTTCAGCCAGTAAGTATGGAAATCTCCCTTGTGTAAGTTTTAAGAATTAAAGGCAATTTGTTAGGTAGAATCCACACTGGAAATCTTTGGCACAGTGCCTAGCTAGTTGCAGGGGGAGGATGTGTAGGGTGGTGGAAATGGTGGTGGCGTAGAGGGAAAACTCGATGGCACTTAACTGGTTTTCTGTTTGCCTTTAAGTTGCCCTATTTGCCATCTTACATGAGTCTGTTTATGTTGTTTTAATTACTGTATGTGGTTATCCAGAACAAAACAAACGACCGACGCTCTGCCACTGAGTGCATTCAGGTTCATAGTGATACTGTAGGGCAGAGTACTCCCCTGGAGCCCCCAATGGGTTTGTACTTAGACTTTTGAGTTGACCATTATGCCAGCAACACTCCTAATATATGGTTAGCTTTATTCATTTTGGGGGGAAAATGTTTCCGGTTTTTGACACCTTATCTTATCTCAACAGCTTTCAAGATGTTAGAAAGTTCAAGCCAGAAGTTTCTTCAGGGTTTGGTTTATCTCATTGGGAACCTCATGGGTTTGGCATTGGCTGTTTACAAGTGCCAGTCTATGGGACTATTGCCTACACATGCATCAGATTGGTTAGCCTTCATCGAGCCCCCTGAGGTAAGGGAAAAGATAAGCTAAATTTGGGCCAGTTGTAACACATAATGAATAGCTCACCTGTTTGATATTGGGTAATTAAAAGTTGCTATTTAGGAACTCTGGTAGCGTAGTGGTTATGAATCAGGTTGCAGGCCGCAAGGTCTAGCAGTTCGAAACTACCAGCTGTTTCGCGGGAGAACGATGAGGCTTTCTGCTCCCGTAAAGATATACAGCCTCAGAAACCCTGTACAGGGTTGCTTTGAGTTGGAACCGACTCCACGGCACATAACAACAACAACAATTACAGATCAGGACTCCTGGTGTGGTGTTGTAGGATCAACACTGGACTCTGAACCACACCCACCAGCTGCTCCTTGGAAATCCTGTCTATAGAGTCGTTATGAGTCGGAATCTACTCGACAGTACTTAACAACAATTAAGAGATCAATTCTTAAGAACCATTAGGAGGTTGGAGTCCTGGTGTGGTGCTGTGGGTCAATGTGCTGGACTGCAAAGTTGGTTTGAACTGCAAGGGTGGTGGTTCAGACTTACCACTGCTCCTAGGAAACCCTGTAAGGGTCACTATGGGTCAGAACCGACTTGAAGGCACACAGCAACAATAACAGGAATTTGGAAGTTGTCTTTTTTTTTTTAAGGATAAAGCAAACTAGAGCTGCTTGTGATTAAAGTATTAAATGAGTGGTTCAGGGAGTTTTTCCAACACTCTTAGACCACTTACACTTTCCTGTTTGCATTTTCTTGTTACAGAGAATGGAGTTCAGTGGTGGCGGACTGCTGTTGTGAGCTTGAGAAAGAAGCAGCTGGTACCTTAAAGATTTCTTCTCATTTATATACTTGTTCAGGAACTACTGGTTCATCCTCATTATTCTCACCTTACAAATTACCATTCATGCTGACAAGAGCCAAAAAGCTTTTTTCTCTTTGATGAGGAGACAGACTGTAGAAGAACAATGTCCATACTATTATAAACACAAAGAAACTATACCACAACCCCTGACTGAAAATAATGTAGAAAACTTTATTTGTTTCCAGTACAGAGCAAAACAACAAATAAAACTATCTCTGTAAACAGAATGGGTGCTGCTAAAACAAGAACCACAGCAGCATCTCCTCTTAATAAATTAATTGCTATGAACAAAAAAGTTGCACATGTTTCCCTTAAATCTGTTTTCCTTAATATCTCACTTCTATTTTACACACGATAGGACAAAAATTCTGTGGAGACACTTTTGGAAGATGTGAGAAATTAATGCTGAATTCAGACTATACATGATGAAAAGAAAAACCAGACAACATAAGCACATAAATATACTTAGAGTGTAATGACTACTTTTAATACTCACAATAATGGATTTTTAACATTTTAGGGGGAATGAGGATTGGTGGGATCCTTGGGGCCACAGAAATCTTAGGCATTTAAAGGTATAACCTACCCTGGTAAAGTCATAGTGGAGACTTAAAAGCTGGCTAATCTTATTCAAAAGGCAGGCAGAGGTCTTTCTCCCCTTTTGAAACAAAGCCCCTTCCCCTAAGGTGCATTTTCTTATCAAGTGTTCGGTATTGCTTTATTTGCAGTGATTAAGAAAGTCGACACACTTTGCAGACAAACAACATAAGCAACACATAAAAACATGAAATGCTCTAGACAGAAATAAACCTGGCCTAATGACCATTCTTCCATGTAACAGTGATTTTGTGTCCCCTAGTTACAAACAATATCAGTTTCTAAGTGTATTTTTAAGTGGAATTTGTAGGTGAGTTGCAACAGGTGCATACTGTTGAGTGTAAGAAAAGGCTTGGAGCCTTTCCCATGATTGAAAAGCTGCATGTGTAGCAAGTGACGGTGATTGTGATGAAGAATGTGTTGTGAAAAGCAAGGGCAGTGTTACAGAACATTAAAGGGCAAGTATGAGTTGTCTGACATTTGTAACCTGGGGACTTTTTACTGTCATGGCTACCTTCCTTAATAGCCAATGATTCTTAAAGAACTCCAATGAAGAGTTCTTCTAAAACTTAAATTTTTTATTTTTTTTTTTACCGTTTTCATCCTAAATGTGGGAGAGGGGGCTATCCATATGGCTTTGGCCAGCTGTGTAAAGGGTAAAGGTAGGGAAATTCCTGTACAGGCTGACTGACCATCAAGACCTTGCATCCTAGGGCACCTGCCCCACTACTGCTGTGCACAACTATTAACTGTGGAGTGTTGCAATGAGAGCTGTAAACAATGCTACCTTCTGCAGGACAGATCGGAGGGGCACGGGGCTGGGGGAGAGGAAGTGTTAAGATCCTGGCTGCTTTACTATCCTGAGTGGGCCTGGAGAGGGAAAGAAGAACAAAGGGAACAATTCAAAATGACTCCATTTCTTAAGCCAGATTGAAGGAGTTTCCTCTTTGTCCCGAAAGGTCAATTGGCTGGCACCTAGATAACTCGCTCCATATCCTACTGGGTAATTGAAGACTGGCACTAACAATAAAGCGGAATTTAAAACAGCCATAAATACAGCGAAAATACAGTTTCTCTTCATTTCATTACTCTATCTCATAAAGAAATGAAGATTTCAGTACATATTTGAAATTCCTGCTCAGCCACACAGTGTAATTTCCCTATGCTTGAGAGTCAGGAATTTTATGACTGTTTATAATTAGTGGTGGGAGGTGGGGTTCGGGGGAGCTGAGTTTGCAGATGTATTTCCTTGGCTCGTTTAGAACTTTCTGAAAATAAAACTGAGAGAAGAAAACCACTAGTATGGCTAATTTCTTAGTCCACAGCTAAGTTTCTGCAGTCAGAATAAAGAATAAAATTGAAATCAAGAGGGGAAAAAATTAGGTGAGTACCTCAACTCTTCATTGCAGCTTTGGAGACCACACACAGGCTTAGTGAAAGAAGAGTTTCTTGAACTAGGTCAATGCCAGCTCGTATTTCACTTAGCAACGTAAGGAAGGAGAGGAGCAGCTCAATAACTTTGGCACTATGGAGAGAGTATGGCTCTAGAATTTCTAATTCCATTGCTTGATTCCCCCTTTAAAAGACAGTCCCAAACTTTTAAGGAATGATTTTAGCCAGACTTCTTTGTGTTTGTTCCTGTGAATTTTCTGACCTATGCTTACTAACCCAGAGGGCATAAAAGAGAAGGAAAGGAGAACCTACTGGTCAGCATTCATAATGACCTATATAACAGCTTGTATGTTTTGCCCATGTTACATACAGTATCACAGGCTGGATTTCAGTAAACCTTAATAGCTGCTTTCTGAGTTCTCTTAGTAAAGCCACTTAAAATGAACCTGTAAGAAAGAATTCTTTATCTTTTAAAAAGCAACTTCCATTGTAATACTATCTGTATTCTAATCTTAACTACAGAATGGGTTTTGAGTTGGAGAAGCAGACAACTGAAAGGTACATCAACACAGTATATATACTTAAACCTGGTATTTTGGGGGACTCTTGTGTTGGCAGAAGTAGAAGCAGCAACCAGTTTCGGTTTTTTTGTACATTAGTACCCCAACATCAAATGAGTCCTAGAGAGCAATGGATACATGAAGCAAAATTGGCTAATACACATTTCATCTTGGCCCACCATAGGTTATCTCCACAAGGATATTAGGTGCTCATCTACTTGGCCGTGAATTCTGTAGTACGATGAGCCAGTATCTCTCTGACTGCTACTCCATGGTGTCATCCTTAAATCTGAACTCGTGAGATTCATCTTTATTGTTTATATGTGATTGCTTTTTGTGTTCAGATGAATTTTTAGCATCTCTTTTGCCAATTCATTTTATGGGCTTAACATACTAACTCCATCTCGCTTTTGACTGGTAAAAACAAGGCTTTTAGGACTTGACCATTCTTCTGATGTTTAGGGAATATTTGCTTCTATAAAGACAGCATCATATGGAAGCAAAGAGCTGATCTATTTGTACCCTTCTGAACCAAGTACTTGAGGCTCGGCACATCCAGGGCTGAGTGTAATGTATGCAGAACGTACAGCTCTAGTTGGGTAGCAGAGTAGTGAAGGGCTGGTGCTGGCCATGGAGGATGGAAGTCTTTTAGGAAAGGGGAGGCTAAGCAGAGTCATTCAAAGGCAGGTTATGAATAAATGGTGATCACTTCACTGCCACCACCCCGGACAAGAAGAACTCGTTCAAGTCCCTCGGTGAGCACTTCTAGGAACTCCATATCTTCAGAACTTGTCAAGGAGACAAGGAGGAAGAGTGTACTTTACAACCTGAGACTGTGATGATCGGAATTGACCTGTTCCCAGAGCTGCAAAACGGCCACACCTATCTCTATTATAGATGCTCAGAACTGGGAAAGTCTGAACTCTGAAGTCAATCTAGCGGGCGTGAAATAATGAAGGGGACCCTCTCCTTTTGCATATGTAATACAAGACTTACATTTGTTAGATGTTTTTTAAATGGGGAAAACTGTAAGTAATGTATTAGCCTGAATGTCAAAGTAAGTAAAAAAAAGTATCAGAAAAAGAAAAGGCCTTAAGATTCCTAGAGAACCCAAATGATTTCAAAGTGAAGTTACTCAACCCAGGTGTTCTGCCTGTTTTCTTTTTTAAGAACTTTTTCCTCATGGTACTGGTATGAACCAGTTTACATAGTTTCAGTGCTCTAGGGCTTCCGTAAAAACAATCTTGGTCTGAAAGTATATGAAAGAACCCCTAATCTTTTATCTCAGGTGAAAAAACCACTTCAACAGCTACTCCCTTAACTCCAAAGTAAAGACAAGGCTTTGCAACATGGGTAGAGCCTGGTAGGTAAGTAGAAAGGATGTGAATAAAATACCTCTAGGTTCTATACAACGAATACTAGAAGTCATGTTGCAAATATACCACCTAAAAAATCTCTTAAGGTTTAGAGAAAATATACCCCAAGTTCCCCAAAAGATTAGTCACTAAGAATCCTTCCTTAAGACTCTTAACAGTCTTCCTTCTTCAAATCAAGGGAAACAGAGGAATAGGCAATGACTTTTATAGTTACCAAGTTGTCTTATCTGGACTCCTGGTGTGGTACTGCAGGATCAGCACTGGACTGCGAACGACAAGGTTGGCAGTTCAAATACACCAATTGCTCCTTGGAAATCCTGCACAGGGTCAATATGAGTGTGAACTAACTAGATGGCACCTAACAACAATGGCTGTCTTGAAACAGCCTGAGAAATTTTTCCCTACTGGCAACTCCATTCTTAAGAAAGGATACAGTTTTCATCACCCTCAGGGTTTCGGGGTGGCCCGGGCATGTTCAACAAAACCAGCTTTGCTTCATGGGACTTGTTAACTATAACCTCATTGAGCTTGACTGCTGTATGCATCCGCCTCACATTGGACTGATCCCTGGTGAGAATAAATAAGAGGGTTAAGGTAAAGAGAAAACTAGACACACAGTCAACCTTAAAATCTTGACATCTAGAGCTCCTGGCACAGCAGGATAAGCAGTGAACTGCTAATTGCAAGGTTCAAACCCACCAACCACTCCTCAGAAACCCTTGTTTAAACAAGGTCACTATGAGTTGGAACTGACTTGATGGCACTTAACAATTTAGGTAATGCACAGAATGAGTTTTTTTGTATCTTGTTTCTTAAAAGCATCTTTAAGATAAAGGATCCTTATTTACATTATTTGACTCCATATAATCAGGAGTAGAAGTTCTAGTGTGGTGCTGTGGGTTGATGCGCTGGACTGCAAAGTCGGCTAGAACTGCGAGGTGGGAGGTTCAAGCTCACCAGCCGCTCCTTGGAAATACTATACAGGCTGTTTCCATTCCATACTTTGCCATTTACTCTCAGGCTCGTAGTAATGGATCCATGTCTCATCACCAGCAATGGCTTTTTTTTAAGGAAACTTTTTACCTTCCTTCAAATATTTATCTAAATTTTGTTTGCAGATGTCCAAAGGCTTCTGTTTATGGTCTTCTGTGAGCTGTTTCAGTATCCATCTCGCACAAACTCTTCAAAACGCAAGTCTGTCGTAGATTATTTCATAGGCAGAGCCATGGCTGATTTGCAAATGATTTGCCACCTAATCCACTGTCACTCGTCTATTGAACAGAATCATTTCATGTGCCTGCTCAATATTGTCATCAGCTGTGAATGTGGATGGATGATTTCATATAACCAGAGTGCAGATACTTTTTGACTCATTCGTGTAAACATTTAATTAAACCATTCTACCTACATTTCTGCCCTCTTCTCTTTAGTGACCTTCTCATCCTCTGTGCACCCTATATGTCAGTGTTTCCCAGAGTTCTGTCCGTGGGTTCTTAGTTACGTTTATGTTCTATTTTGAGAAATCTCATTTACTCATATGTACTCAACCATCACACATTCAGTGATGATTTCCAAATCTGCACTCTTAGGGTTGACTTTCTTCTTATCTTTAGACATATTCTCTAACTATCTAAAGGATAAGGAGCCCTGGTAACATAGTGAACTACAAGCTGGGCTGCTAACCGCATGGTCAGCAGTTCAAATCCATGAGAGAAAGATGACGCTTTCTGCTCCTGTATAAAGATTTACTGCCTCAGCAACCCTATACAGGGTCACTATGGGTCAGAACCGACTCCACAACACACAATCACTACCACCTAAGGAATATCTCTACAGACACCTGAAATTCTACTATTCTAAACTGAGAAATTTTGAATTTGTATTTGGAACATGTAAGGAAAAGAAAGAAAGAGACAAAGAAGAAAGTCTTGGCTTCAAAAGCAGGCAGGTTTATTGAGAGTAAAATAAGAGGGGATACTTTTGTCACTAAAGGAGACCAAAAGCCCATCTGTTGTCTTCCAGACTGGGGTATTTAAAGGCTGTGTGGTCTGGGTACAGTTCTGGTGAATTTACAATGGGTGGGGGTATGGAAATTTGGGCGGGGGTATGGAGATTTGGGCAGGGGTAGTTGCAATGCCATTGTGTTGATCAGGCGCAAGTTCCTTCAGAACATAAGCTGACTAATTTCAAAGTGATTTTAAGGAAATTTTGTTGACATTATTATTCCTGATTGCTAGTGGGATGCTAATGTAACTTCACTTACTTAGCAGTGAAACAGAACATGTCCTCAGCTCCTCCTTCTGGAATCCTCATTTCTATACCTCTTCTTGTTGTTGTTAAGTGTCATCAAGTCAGTTTCAACTCTTAACCACCCAGTATAGGGTTTCTGAGGAGCGGCTGGTGGGTTTGAACTGCTGACCTACAGCACCACACCCAGAGTCTACCAACCTCTTAGTTGCCCAGAAATGCAAGAAGTCCTTCAAACACTACCCATCAAAAATTCTTCTATGTGGTGCTATTCAAAGTGCAGTCTGCAAACTAGCAGCTTGTTTTTGAACTGTTTTACTAGTTTTTTCCAAGCAGATAAGAACAAACACAGTTTAATTCAGTGGAGTTTTTAAATATAACTAGATTTATACCATAGAAAGCTCGCAAGTCCTTCTTTGGCCTATAACTAATTGGAATACCTAAAATAGGGCTACAATGTGCCCAGTGAAGGAGGCTGCCTGCGGAGTCTCTGCATTACATAAGACCATAGGTGGAATCCTGAACAACACCCAGAATCTCCAGAGGTGGGAAATTTCCTCTTGAAAGGACGGACAGACCAGCCTGGAGTGGCTAGAAGAACAGAAGATACTTCTTGAAAGTAAGACCGACAGCAAAAATACAAAACAATAGAGGCAGACCGACTGATTACTACAAGAACAAGCAAGTTGCTCGCCCAGGAGACATAAAGACAAGGGGTCGGGTCCCCTCAGAGTAAACCCCCTTCCAAGACTAAGACTCTCAAGGGGAATACATGCTCTGATTGCTGACCATGTTCATCACCGATAAGGGGAAGGGAGGGAAAAACAGCAATGAAGCTGCGAGCTAAGCCCTACAACGTTCAAAAGACTCCTGTGAACCTGGGTGGACACCTGGTTGGTCAGCAGTGTGAAAAGACCTGGGGATTCTTGGGCCCATGCTCAGTGACATAGCCACGGAGAACTGGAGTGGATAGTGAAGTGTCCAGCTGATAAGAAGAGAGGGCATATGCACAAGAATACCCACACTTGCAGATAATACCCACTTGACCTAGCTTCAATGAATGGATGATCAGAGCTCAACCAGAAGAAGAAAGAAGAGGACAAAAAGAGTAATCTGATACAATTTGATGAACTTGACCTACACCTATGGATACAGTAGCTCAAAAGAGGGAACACATCTTTACAGCAAGGATCATTCCCACCCCCTCCATACACAGATTAGACAGAGATGGACAACTTGGACATTGGCTATCCAAAATGGGGGGGCTACAAAGGCAAGAAGTGACTGGCTTACAAGCTTTCAAGAGGGAACTCAGATCCAGAGGGCATGGAGGAAGGTAGAATCTCCACTGAGTAGTATCTAATCTGTCTAGGCGAGGCTGATGAAAGGAAATGCGGATAGGTCTCTTGTGATACAATGGTGAATAACTGTTATCAGGACTGATTGTGAGGGTTGTAAATGTAAAGGTAGACATTTTGTGGCAATGAGGGGAGTGATTAACTTTGCAGTCTAGGAGCGGAGGTCCGTGGGACCATGAAGGGAGAACAGGGGAGAGCGGGACCCTACCCAGAGAAGCAGTGATCCCTGAGATGGAGGCAGAGACAATGACGTGGCGAGATGGAGCAGCTGAGGATTTTAGACCCAGAGAGGGAGAGGGCTGTGTGCTGATGGCCGAGGGTGGGGGGGAGAGTGGGGGCAGGCTTGCAGGGTATATACCCTTTGGTTGGTTGATGATGCATGGAGGGGATTGTAACCATGGCAATGAAACGATATATGATAGAATGAATGTAAAACTAATGTTCTCCCATGTAAACGATCACATAAGTCACAAAACATTTATATATATATATATATATAACTAGATTTAATCAGTGAAGGAAACCATGTTTTCATTTATTTCCTAGCACAAGCTCCTTATCTTACTCAAAGATTTATACCATTGTGTTGCACCTCGAGTAAGTAGCACTGAAATTGTTAAGTGCTATTTGGTCAGTTCCAACTCACAGCGACCCTATATGGGGTTTATGAGGTTGTAAATCTTTGCAGGAGCAAATGGCTTCATCTTTCTCCCACAGAGCGACTAGTGGGCTCAAACCACTGACCTTGTGGTTCTCAGTCCAGTGCTTATCCTACAGCACCACCGTGCTCCCACCACTGGACTTACCTACAGAATGAAAACAAAAACTCTGTCCCTATCTATCTTCCAGCCTAATCTTTTGTCCTCATACCCTTAAGCTGTCTCTGGATAAACAATACCTGGCTCTCCTCACATGCATGCACTCTCTCATCAGGGACACTGGTTAAGAGGGAGCTATCTGGAATCAGACACATCTGGATACAACTGGCCCAGCCACAGACCTGCTGCCAAGTGAATAATTAGGAAAATCATAGAAATTCTGTAAGCCTTAATATTCTTGCCTAGTAAAAGACTAATTACAATAGTGTCTGTACCTCATAGAGCAGGAACCCTGGTGGTGCTGTAGGATAAGCATTGGACTGCTAACCACGAGACTGGCAGTTCAAACCCACCACAGAAGAAAGATGAGGCTTTCTGCTCCTTTAAAGATTTACAGCCTCAGAAACCCTATACATGGTTGCTATGAATCAGAATTGACTCGATGGCAGTGGGTTATACCTTATAGAACTTTATGGATTACATGAAATAGCATATGTAATACACTTAGCATAAAGCTTGGCACAAATTAAGCATTTTAATAAATATTATTGTTGCTTTCAAGTTCTGTGAAGTCAGTTCTGACTTACAATGACCCAGGATAGAGTTTCCAATGGTTGCTGGGTCTGAACTACCAACTTTGTGATTAGCAGTCCAGTGCTTATACTATAATGCCACACAAAGACCAGTATTATATACATGTAGATGTTACCTCTGCCCAAAAACTGCCACTCACGTTTTTAGTCAGAAAATTCCTATTACCTTCCTAAGATATCTAAAGCATAGTTTTCCATTTCTGAAACCAGATTTTTGTACTCCTTTATTCAGACCACTTTTTACTCTTCATTCTAGCATTCCAGTACTCACCCATTGTATCCTAATTGTTTAAGACCCTAAGACCCTTTAGAAGAAGGAAGATGTCATTTTTTCCCTATAGCTAGCCAGATGCTACTTGACATAAAAATAGTTTTAGATGAAATAAAATAGAATTTAATTTCCTAAATATCTAGCTTATAAATTAGCTACAAGCATCATTTTTCTTCTAACTTTTGTCTACTTTGGGCATATAATACTTTTTCGACTTGCTTGTCTGGACATTTTCATTTGTACTAAGATTTCCTTATGATTCCAATATCCTGGGTTACCTCATTGTACCTTTGTGATTTCTCACCAGAACGTTGTTTTGAGATGGATTCTGTGGCAAGGTGGAAGCACACTAGCATGTGTACAACACTAGTTGGGAGCTGACAGGCAAACACTAAAGAGATGGCCGGATTTGGGGTAAAATTAAGAACAGACTACATCCTGATATCCCAGCTGAATCCCACTGTGCCACTGACCAAGCCGTTGTACCATGTGACACGCTTATGGGTGGAAACTTACGGGCGCATGTTAAGCAGGTCTTGGAACCCTTCCATTGTCTTGGCTTTTTGCCCCCGGGATGCCATGTACTTGTCTTTTGTCCAAGTCATGTGCACCTTCTCCTGATAGGTCTCTGTCTCTTCATCCTCATCAGAGCCAATGCTAGTCAATCGCAGCATTGAATTCCGGTCTTTCACCAGCTGTGCCTAGGGAAGGCCCAATATAGTTATCACTCTATATGAAATGTTCTCTCATGTCTCAGCTTCAAATTTTTAAAACAACACTGTGAGGATATCATGAAATAGCTGATGAAGTGAGAAGGAAACTATCTTTCACCCTATGAAATTAGGGCAATATCCCTTTCAGTAACAGACTTCATCACTAGAACCAGGAGTAGATCAATGCAGCACGGCCTCACCTCTCTGTCCCGCTCTGTTTTGGACAGTCGCATGTGCCGGAGCATCTGGGACCTCTGCTCCATCATCAGAGTGCGCTCGTAAGTATAAGCGGATATGTCACTGTCATGCTGCCATGGACATCACAGAGGGGGCAGGCAGTAAGCACAAAGAAGAAAGGAGAATGACCCATTCATTTCATGTGAACTCACTACATCAGACCAGACAGTATCACTCTATCAAGTATGTTTCACTTGTAACTTTATTCAGTCATTGAGTAAGAGTCTTCATCTAGCCTTTCCATATGAGGGGGCTTCAAAAAGGTTGTGGGGAAAATGGAATTAAGAGATAACTAAGCATTCCACAAACGTTTTGAAGCCCTCTCCTACATGTATTTCCTTAGAAAACACATTCTAGTCTGTTAGCATATTTGTTTTTAATACTTCTAGATAATATAAAAAAGCCAAGTGTGATTTTCAGCATGAATATATGAATTGAAAAATTAACAAAACTCTATTAAGCAGACAAGAATCTCGAAGGAATACAAGGACTATATAAAAAAACAAGAAAGCAAAATCAAAACAAGCAAAATACACACACACACACACACACACACACATACATCACACACACACGGACATCACATGTACATTCTACTCATCTGAGTCTCAATATATTAGGGTTTTGTTGGAATCAGGGAACTAATCTACATTTGCAGCTGAATAATTCCCCAAACCAGAAAGGTGCTAGGAACAAAGATGTGGAAGGGGGAATGGTGTTCTCCTTGATTTCAAACAGGTTTCTCACCATTTCTACCACTTCCACCTCTGCCTCAATGCGTAGGTGATACAGGAAGGTGGCCAAATCCTTCTTCATCTGGATACTGTTGTCTTCTAGCTGGGCTACAGTGAAGATCCGTATGTTGCACTTTCGCCACACCTGAGGGAGTGCCATACATACATGGAAAATTAGATACAAGAAGGTTAAAAAGAGTGATTTCCTAAAATATGAAGCATTCTTGCTTAGAAACAGGGCTTTGCACTTGTTCTTTCTGGTGCAGTCACAGTTAGCAATGAGAAACCAGAATAGACACGAATTTGTAAAGTGTAGGTGTACTGGAATCATAACTGGAATGGGAAAAATTATGGGCATGAAGCCCTGGAATGGGACACTTGGAAGAGGTGTAGTGAACCTCTTTCCAAGAGCCCGAAGGGGAGCTCTGTATCATTGCCAGGCCAGTGGGCTGCGATATACATTCCCATCTCACAGCTGGTCACCATCTTTGAGCCAGGCACTGTTGTTTTCAACTCTGCTGATCCAACATGCTGCCCTGGTTTTCTAAGAGAGAGATTACGTTAGTAACAGAACATCAACACTTAATACTTCTCACTCCGGTTATTGTTCCAGTATGCCACATTTTACAAATTTGGGTCTGTTCTGATTTCACTGCATTCGTCATGAATGAACCAGTTCAAAGCATTTCAAAGCCTGTCTTAGAACAACCTTGCTATGTTGTTATTGTTAAGCGCCGATGAGTCAGTAGGGTTTCTGAGGAGCAGCTGGTGAGCTTGAACCGCCAACCTTGCAGTTCAAACTGACTTTGTAGTCCAGCGCATTAACCCACAGCACCACACCAGAACTCCTGGCTTCCTGCTTGTGATATATAGGGCTAAAATTGAGTATATGTATTCAATTTTAGCCCTATATACCACAAGCAGGAGTTACATAAAGAGTTCCTTAATTTCATAACAAGAAAAAAACTGGCTAAAAAGAAAACATGGCATGTAATACTTTAAGCCCATTGCCATGGAGTTGATTTCAAATCACAGTGACCCAAAAGGACTGAGCAGAACTGCACCATAGGGTTTCCAAGGCTTACAGAAGCAGACTGCCACATCTTTCTCACAGAGAGCAGCTACTGAATTCAAAACACTGATCTTTCAATTCGCAACCAAGTGCTTTAACCACTGTGTCATCAGAGCGCCTTGTGATACTTAAGTGGGTGCTTTATCCAGACATGTTACCCTGGTGACACTGTGGGAGAAAGGTAATGTCTGCTCCTATAAAGATTTACAGACTCAGAAACCCTATGAGCAGTTCTCCTCTGTCTCAGTGTCACTATGACTCCGAGTCAACTCAACGGGAGTGGAGATTATAGTATTTACTATTTCCATTTAATCAGTCACACACCAAAGGATGAGCACAAGTATATATGTGTGACACACATACGTACACTGTATGTATCTGTGATTTACTTTATTACACAGAACTTTTTTAAGTTTTCAGTATTTGAGAGACTCTTGGTCTTTTTTCTTTTTTAAAGATGTTTCTGTGGGTTGCTCTGAGTCAGAACAGACTTGACCGTACCCAACAACAACAACAATAGCATACTATTCCTACGGCTCATAAGACACCTGTTAGTTTGCTGACTTTCACTTAGAGATCAAACGAAAACAAATTTACTGCCGTCGAGTTGATTCCAACTCATAAAGACCCATAGGACAGAGAACCGCTTCATATGGTTTCTGAGGCTGTAAATCTTTGGGGGGGGGGGGGGCGGAGCAGATACCCACATCTTTTCCCAGGAAGTAGCTAGTAGGTTTGAACCACCAACCTTGAGGTTAGAGGCCCAACAGCACTACCACAGCTCCTTAACACCTGGAGATAAAACTCTAAAAACCAAACTCTGTCACTAAGTCATTTCTGACTCACAGCAACCCTATCAGAAAAACCTACTGGGTTTTCCGAGGCTGGTCATATTTATGGGAGCAGAAAGCCGCACCTTTCTCTTGAAGAGTAGCTGGTGAGTTTGAACTGTCAACCTTTTGGTAAGCAGTTCAGTCCTTACCCTACAGTGTCACCATAGCTCCCTTGGAAATACGTAAGTGTCAAATAAAAAGAAGATGGTTTTTCATAAGGTTGTAACTGGAGCCATGAAGAGCCAAAAATAATTCCCAGCTCATTCAGTTTGTCTCACAAAGCAGGAAAGGAGGAAGAAACACTGTTTTAAAAAGTTGCTTAGGTCCAGCCACTCCAAAAAGCAATATGGTGCTTCTTCAGACATTTAGAAATAAAGATAATCTTATGATCCAGCAATTCCTCTACTTGGTATTTACCCACAAGAAATATGAGCCATAACACGAGTAGATATATGCACACCAATGTTCATAGCAGCATTATTTAAATAGCAAAAAGATGGAGACAGCCAAAGTGCCCATCAATTGAAGAATGGATAAAAAAACTGTGGTACATACACACAATGGAATATTATGCTACCTTGAAGTATAACAAGGAAGCTGCAAGCCACAACATAACATGGATGAACCTTGAAGAAATCATGTTGAGTGAAATTAGTCAGTCATAAAAGGAAAAGTACTGCATAGGACCACTATTGTAAAAGACTAAGAAAATGAACCCATACTAAAAGGGAGAAAAAAAAAATTATTTGATAGTTACCTGGAGGTGGGGAGTTGGGGTGAGGGGAGGGAGGTCAAGGTGGAACACAGGGAAGCGAGTAGACACAGGATAGTTTGGGTGCTGGGTAGGGGAGCAATACACAAGAAGGGAGAAGGGAATGGAAGAACAAGGTGGATGGGAGAACAGTTAAGCAGGTTTGCATGAGCTAAGTGGGATAGAGGTAAATAATGATGTATGCACAACCCTGGAACAACAGGGCTCTGGGATACAGGGATTGAGGCATGGTTTGAATGAGTAAATGGGGGGAAATAATGTTAAGATGCTTGGCTGTCTTTTGAATCGTGGTTTCCCTTGCATACCATTGTAAAATAGATACTTGAGGGGGAGAGAAAGGAATAGCCAGAAATATCACCATAGAAATCTCGTAAGTCCATATTCTGCCTTTAACTGATTGGAATACCTAAAATGGGGCTACAACATGCTCAGTGAAGGAAGCTTCCTTAGGTGGAATCCCCTCTTCCATAGGTAAAATCCTGAACCCCATTCAGAATCTTCTGAGGTGGGAAATTCCACTTAAAAGGACAAGCAGACCAGCCTGGAGTGGCTAGAAGAACAGAAAATACTTCCTGAAAGAAAGACCGACAGGAAAAATACAAAACAATAACGGCAGTCTAACTGACTACTACAAGGACAAGCAAGTTGTTCGCCCAGGAGACATCAAGGCAAGTGGTTGGGTCCCCTAAGGGCAACCCCCCCTTCCAAGACTAAGACTCAAGGGGAATACACGAGCAGACATGTGCTCTGACTGGTGACCACGTTGGTCACCGATAAGGGTAAGTGAGAGAAAAGCTGTAATGAAGCTGCGAGCTAAGTCCTGCCATGTTCAATAGACCCTGTGAACCCAGGTGGAGACCTGGTTGGCCAGCAGTGTGGCAAGACCTGGGAACTCCTGGGCACAGAGTCAGTGACATAGCCACAGAAGACTAGGGTGGAGAGTGAATCATCCAGCTGACAAGAAGTGAGGGCATATGCACAAGAACACCTACACTTGCAGATAATACCCATTTGACCTGGTTTCAACTGCTGGATGATCAGAACTCAACTAGAAGAAGAAAGAAGAGGGTAAAAAAGAGTAATCTGATACAATTTGATGAACTTGACTTATACCTGTGGATGCAGTAGCTCAGAAGAGGGAACAAATCTTTACAGCGAGGACCATTCCAACCCCCTCGATACACAGGGTAGATAGGGATGGGCAACTTGGACACTGGCTACCCAAAATGGGGGGCTACAAAGGCAAGAAGTGACTGACTTACTAGCTTCCAAGAGGAAGCCTAGATCCAGAGGGGGCGGAAGAAGGTAGAATCTCCACATATTAGTATCCAGTCTGTCTGGGTGGGGCTGATGAAAGGAGATAGGACTCCTGTGGTACAATAGTGAATAACTGCTATCAGGACTGACTGTGAGGGTTGGAAATGTAAAGGTAGACCTTTTGTAGCAAAAGCAGGGGAGTGACTGACTTTGCAGTCCAGGAGCGGAGGTCCCTGGGACCATCAAGGGAGAAGAGTGGAGTGTGGGACCCTACCCAGAGAAGCAGTGACGCCAGAGATGGAGGCAGAGACGATGATGTGGAGACATGTAGCGGCTGGGGACTCTAGACCCAGTGAGGGAGAGGGGCTGTGTGCTGACGACCATGGGGCAGGCTTGTGGGGTATACCCTTTGGTTGGTTGATGATGGATGGAGGGGATTGTAACCATGGCAATGAAATGATATATGATAGGATGAATGTAAAGCTAATGTTCTCCCATGTAAACTATCACATAATTTATAATAAAACATTAAAAAAAAAAGTTGCATAAAAGTACCTTGTGCTGTTTGAGTAGGAATGGTAATAGCATGAGCATCCCTCCATCATGCACAATCCACCACACATCAATGTTGCCCTCAGAAAACTGCTCCACATTGCTGGGAAAGAAGGAGATGTTCTTAGCCACCAGCAAGGCAAGATGGGCAGCAGTTGTCACTCGAACTGTGCCTAGGAAGGGGAAAAAAATGTGAGAATCAGGATAAGCAGAGAAAAATGCCTAGGCTTGTCTTGCTTCTGATAACCAAACCCACTGACATCCAGTTGATTTTTGACTCACAGTAACGCTGTGAGCAGAGAGTGGGTTAATGCATTGGACTGCAAGGTAAGCATGAACTGAGAGGTTGGCAGTTCAAGCTCACCAGCTGCTCCTTGGAAAGCCTACACAGGGTTGCTGACTCAAAGGCACTTTAACAACAATAACAACATGGACAGAGTAGAACTGCTCCATATGGTTTTCAAGGTTGTAAATCTTAACAGAAGCAGACTGCCTCATAGTCTCCTGTGGAGCAGCTGCTGGGTTCAAACTACCAACCTTCCAGTTAGCAGACCAATGCTTACCCCAGTGTGCCATCAGGACCCCTATTCAGATCGCTTCTGGTAGTTCCAACCATATCAGGAAAACAGGGTAATTATTTCTCTCAAGACTTGTACTAGGAATTACCTGCTAAATTGCCATGTTTTTTTCATTTATTATTTCCAATAACAGAAACCGTGGTTTTCAATCTAAGTCTCCTAGACATTCATATTTTTCTCAATTTATGTTAGGTAATGAGGTATAACCTACTCTTTAAATAAGACTCCTTGTTCAAAGAAATTAAAGAATTATCCTGATAAATAATTTATGAGTATAAAGTTGGTGGAGTGGGTAGAATCAGGTGATTATTATTATTACTAGCAGTTATATAAGAAAACCCCAAAGCAAATCAGTTGCCTTCGTGGTGATGCTGACCTGCAGTAAGCCCATGTTCAGTGGAGTAGAACTGTGCTCCACAGAGTTTTCAATGGCTGATTTTTAAAGTAGATCGCTATGCTTTTCTTCTGAGGCGAGACTGGGTGGGTAGACTCAAACTGTCAACCCTTCAGTTACAAGCCAAGAACGTTAACCATTTGCGCCACCCAAGGACTCACTGCCTCATGTGCATGTGACAGCTGGACAGTGAGTAAGGAAGGAGGGCTGAAGAAGAACTGACTGATACATTAGCATTGCGGTGTTGGAGAAGAATAGTGACTATGCCATGGACTGCCAGCATAACTAATCTGTCTTGGAAGAAGTACACGTAGGATTCTCCTTAGAAGTGAGGGTGGCAAGACTTTCTCACATACTCTGCACATGTTATCAGGAGGGACTAGTTCCTGGAGAAGGATATTATGTTTGGTAAAGTACAGGCTCAGTGAAAAAGAGAAAGACCTTCACCCAGATGGACTGATACAGTGGCGGTAAAAACGGGCTCAAATGTAACAATTGTGAAGATGGCACACAACTGGGCAGTGCTTTATAAATAGGATTGCAATGAGTTAGAACCGACTGAAGGCATCTAAGAACTACAACATAAGACAACATATTTCAGCAATAGCGTAATCTCTATTTTAAAAGACTGGAGATTTAACTATGTTATGTCCCCTATTTGGTTCCTCACGATTGTAATGAGAAATGTTCTGTACCAATAAAAGTCTTCCATGCTCGAGCATCTTCACTCTGGCGCCAGCCATTAGGCCAGCCCATCACCACTGTGTTGTGCTTCATGCCCCCAAGGCCACATGACTGGATGAGGTGGGAAATACCCTCTTTCAGCTTGGCTGCCACCACCAGCTGGCAGAATCCTTTCACCTTCTCTGCCTCCATTAGGTGCTTTATGGTCTGAAAGAGACACAGACTCTCAATACTGAATTGCTTCACCCTGAACCCTTTAACTAACTCCTTCGTCATATATATTTCCTCCTTCCCAAACTCCACACAAGAGCACAGAAAAACTATCCCAACGAAATCCACTATCCTTTGTCTTTTTCACTTTTTAAATGCTTAATATCTACCTGGATATCTATAAACTGGCTGTCTACATTAAATTTCTTTGCCTTTTTGTCTTAGAGGTTTTCCTCCCTTTGGAGCATACCTAAAATTTGAGAACAGAGGTCTTCACAAAGGATAAATTCATTAGTGTGCACATGAACTTCTCATTCCTCTGCCCAGTATTGCGCTGACTCAGACTACAAATATATTCAATCTGATCATTTTCTGTTTACATTTTTTTTCCAGGTATTTTCAATTTTTCATTTCTTCCATTTCCAGCTCCTTTTTGGCATTTTAATGGTGATTAGTGGTGACACGTGCATACACTTTACTAATCTTTTGCGGAATTCAATTTGGAGATACGATCTCATTTACTCTGCACTTCATCTTCTTAGTGGAAAGGGAGTAATGGTGTGGAAGATGCTTTTCTCACAGGCATAGAAGTCACGGGTGCAGCCAGATGACAAGCAAGGTCTCTTGATTATTTATTAATTTCTACCATCATTCTAGTTTCAAAGCATTCTAAATAACATCCATAAAATGTTTCAAATGCAACAGAAATTTTCTTTAAACAATAGGGTTAACTCTCATTTATAATAAGCATTACAGTGAAAACACCTTCTTATTCAGGTAGAATTTTAGTACTGGTACAACCCATTGCTACTGACTCAATTCTGACTCTCAGTGTCGTACTGGACAGAGTAGAACTGATCACAGGCTTTCCAAGGCTTCACAGAAACACTTTACCAGGACTTTCTCCTTCAAAGTAGCTGATAGGTTGGATCTTATAGACCTTTTGGTTAGCAGGTGAGTGCTTAAAACACTGCATCTTAATATGCAGTACAGTTGTTAATCACAAATATCTAAGAAACTTATTTGCAATACCACATACACAAAAAGGAGGAGCTCTGGTAGTGTAGTGGTTCTGAGTCGGGTTGCTAACCTGAAGGTCAGCAGATGGAAACTACCAGCTGTTCCACAGGAGAAAGATGAGGCTGTCTGCTCCTGTAAAGATGTACAGCCTTGGAACCCTATATAGGGTCACTATAAGTGGGAACTGACTCCACAGCACATAACCACCACACTCATGGAACCCTATATAGGGTCACTATGAGTGGGAACTGACTCCACAGCACATAACCACCACACTCATGGAACCCTATACAGGGTCACTATGAGTGGGAACTGACTCCACAGCACATAACCACCATACTCATGGAACCCTATATAGGGTCACTATGAGTGGGAACTGACTCCATAGCACATAACCACCACACTCATGGAACCCTATATAGGGTCACTATGAGTAGGAACTGACTCCACAACACATAACCACCACACTCAAAAAACCCAAACTCACTGCCCTTGAGTCAGTTCTGATTCATAGCAACCCTGCATAAGGTTTCCAACGCTGTAAATCTTATGGGAGTAAACATCATCTTTCTTTCACAGAGCGGCTGGTGGGTTTGAACTGCTGGCCTTTCAGTTAGCAGTCCAGTGCTTATCCTACAGCACTATCAGGGCGCCTTCATTAGTGCCACATGTTACTGTTATTGTTAAGTTCCATTGAGTCAGTAATGAGTCATAGTGACCCTGTATATTTTCTGAGGAGCAGTTGGTAGGTTTGAACCACTGACTTTGAGGTTAGCAGTCCAGTGCTTATCCTACAGTACCACACAATGAAACATAGATTATTAAAGAGAAAGAAGTATGAGAAAAGAAAGAAAAGTTGCTCATTGACCTTCTTGTCATAAGATTATAAGGCATCTTGTCAATAGTTTATTATTCTTTCAGCGTCAGAGGTATTTGAAGTCTATTTGGAAATAGTGCTTATCCTTGATAATTTTATATTTTAGTATCATGGCAATGCTTTAAATGAGAAGAAAGAAGAACTATCTTTTGGTTTATCTTAATTGTTGTTGTTAAGTGTTGTCGAGTCATTTCTGACTCATAGAGAAGCTGTGTAGGATTTGCAAGGCTTTAAATCTATGCGGGAGCAGAAAGCTTCATCTTTCTCCCATGGAAGCCACTGGTGGGCTTGAACTGATGACTTTGTGGTCAGCAGTTCAGTGCTTATCATATGGAGCCACTGTGCTATTATTTGGGAGAATGTAGTCATTCAAAAGTCAGCACTAAATAAAAAGGACAACCTCCTGGATCACTCAGGTAGGGACTGATGAGAGATCTGAGTCCACTTACTAAACAGCACAACATCATAAGCTTACTTTAAGTTTTTCCAGTAAGTCAATTCGCCTGGACTCTTACCTGCTCAGCAGCTAAAGCCTCACCATAGTTCTCCAGGAAGTTCCCCACAATGACAGAGCCCACAATTGTGAGACCCTTTCCTGCCTTGAGCTGTGAGGCAAAGGTGAGGAGGCGAGGATGCTTGACGTGTAAGTCTTCATCTAGCTTCAGTAAGACAAGCAACTGAGGCCTGCGAAGAGGTTGGCGGGGCAGGAGGGAGAGAAAAACACTTTAGTTTTGGAGAACCAAGGGGCAATTCTACCCTTGAAGAAGAGCTGTATAAAACCTATAATTTGAGAGGGAAGATGTTAGAGGTGAAAAGATGAGAACACTGACTTATTTTGAACTCTCCAGTACTATCTCAAATTTATCTGTCTTCAAGGAAGAATAAAAATGGGCAGAAATCTAGATCATAAATCACATGAATAAAAGACAATCAAGGAATCAAGAATTTGGGATAGTTTAAAATTGTCCATTACACAATTCCGTTACCACATGATCTTTATCCTATAAAACAATGATGAATGCAATTTTGTGTGTTAACTGTGTTCCACACACATCACTTAGCTCTGTTAATTTCTTTACCTCCAGTTCTTAGTGTGTGGCGGTCCTTCCTCCAGCCGAAGCAAAGCAAAGCGGGCTGCACTGAGGGATAGCCCACGGATACCATCACCCCATTCTTTCTCAGCTCTGTGAGGAAAAGGAGAAAGCAGCAGAGATAAACTATGGCAAGTACAATTTCAAAAAACACGCACAATGTAAATGATTAAAAACTCATATAAATGACATATATAACACTCTTTAGTAATATAAGGAGCCAAACGGAAGTAGCCCAACACTACTAACAGACTGTGCTGCAAAAGCAGTTCAGAAAAACACAGAAAGGATCATTCTCTTGGTCCTTCTACATAGCTATTCAAAAGCAAAAAAGCATTTAGACAAGAAATTAATACAGACCCAAGTTTAATTTGAAAATAACAGGAGAAAAGAAAACAATATAATCTTCTGAATCAGAGTGTTATAATTTCTTATGTTTGGAAATGGTTAGTATGTCTTAGCTATTACAAAGTTATTCAAAATGAATTTTTTTTTTTTTTCATTTTAGAGGTAAGCTAAAAGACTAAAGAGATAAACGAAAGTATTTACGTTTGTGTTATACTTTTAAAATATAGTTGGATGGCACTGTGGGATAAGCACTGGACTGTTAACCACAAGGCCAGCAAATCAAACCCACTGGCAGCTCTCAGAAACCCTATACAGGGTGTGTCTACGAGACTGAACTGACTCCATGGCATACAACCACAACAAGTCCTTTTAGTTATTTTTCATTGGTCATTTCTTACTTTCTTAATGGGTTCTCCTTTTAATCAAAAACTGGCATGGTCAAGAGAATTTGTGTTATTGTTATGTGCTGATGAGTCGTTTCCTATTCACAGCAACCTTACAGAGCAGGGTAGAACTGCTTCACAGTGTTTCCTAGGTTGTAAGCTTTATGGGAGCAGCTTACAGGGTCTTTTTTCCCCACAGAGTGGATCATAGGTTCAAACCACCAACCTTTTGGTTAGCACTTGAGAACTTAGTCATTGGGTTGCAAAATTTAGTTGTGAAAAAATTAAGTTCTGTGAACCCATAATTGTTACTAGATTAGCTCTAAGCAAACGAAGCCAGTCTTCATACATGAAGCAGTGACCAATGTCAAGCCCCTAGTTTGTTTGTCCTGCTACAAACTCACCCTTGGTATTCGATGTACTTGTAGATCATACCAGCTATCACCATAGCTACAATGGCATAATACCAAGAAGAAATGAACATCAGAGCCAGACAGATACTCATTCCCATGAAAGACAGGGTCCTAGAAAATTAAAAACAAGCACACAATAAAAGAACGTCTTTCTAAGCAGCTTAAAAAGAGGCACATGCCACAGCAGTTCTTCTCAAACCATCTGTGGTGAGGGATCATTAAAAAATGCTTTCTACTATACTGTAAACAGATGTTTTAAAAATGTAATAAAAATGAATTACAAGAAAATTTATCAACATGCTTAGATGCTGTGGCAATGTCAAATTGCTATATTGTTGTTGTTAAGCGCCGTTGAGTTGGTTCTGACTTATAGAGACCCTGTATAGGGTTTCTGAGGAGTGGCTGATAGATTTGAATTGCCAACCTTATGGTTAGCTGTCCAGTTCTTATCCTACAGAGCCATACAGGACCCCATGTTTTTTATTGCTTATTCTCAATTTCTGTAGTTGTTTTATCATGAACTGGCAATAAGTAGTAAGCAGAGCCAGAAACCACCCTTTGTTGGTGAATGTTGCCCATTGCTTGGAAATACATATATGTGAACATGGAGGCTACAAAAGCCATCTGTGGTTATGAGGATGACTCAAACTTACTTGGCAAAACAGAGATAGGACATGCAGTCAGAAATGTAACAAATTTCTAGTCTTAAAAAATATATATTTCATATAAATATTTCTAAAGTGTTTATAAACATTTATTAGCATAACTATAGAACATACCAAGAAAAACTTAACATTAGATTTTTTAGTTTACACAAGAGAAATGTGACAGGGAGTAATTAAGTTCTTGGTTTGATCAATGATAAATCAGGTAGACAACCACAATGACTGAAATTCTTCTGTGTGCAGAATGACCTTCCTAGATGGATGATGACTTCCAAAGGATAAATAGATGAGTTGTTAATCTAGAGACGATTGTTGTTAAGGGCCACTGAGTCAACTGTTGTTGTTGTTAAGTACCATGCAGTCGGTTCTGACTCACAGTGTCCTTGCACAGGGTTTCCGAAGCTGCAAATCTTTACAGGAGCAGAAAGCCTCATCTTTCTCCCATGAACAGCTGGTAGTTTCGAATTGCCCACCTTGAGGTTAGCAGCCTGATTTGTAACCACTATGCAATAGGATCTATCAAAAACAGAGTAAACTGGAGAGAACAAACAAGATGGCAGATAGGGTGGAAGTGCAGTAAAGGAGCTCCACCAGCAACAACACAGAATACC